TACTATATGATTTACTTTTAGGCTATAGGAATACACCATGGTCCTGTCTTCAGGGACCATTTTCCCTCTCTCCACCTATGCCACATTTTCAACTACCATGGTCCCAATCTAATCACATGCTTGCGCATGCAATGACTAAATCAGCTAAGAATTATTTCATCATCTTCTCAAATCTTCTATAAAAAAATAAAATTTTTTTGATGACCCCTTGTGCAAGCCATGGCTCATCCAATGGTCACTGGTAGAAATGGATTATGGAATATTCCAACAATATTATCTAATGAACTAATGAATAAAAAAAAATGTTGAGGGGCTTATTCGATAAGTTTAGGGGATATTAATGTATTTGAATGAAAAGTAAAACCAAATGACAAGTTAGAAAATAATTCGAAGCTTCCAAAAAGTCCGAGCCCCAGTAGCCTTTACCTCTCTTCGCCAATAGGACTCTTTCCTAAGGCAATCTCACATCGGAAGAGAATCGTCTTCCCCCCTGCCATATAAGTGAACACTTCTTATGAAGGAGGCACCCACTAGGCACCTGATCCTAGTGGGTACCTCCTCCATAGGAAGTGTTCACTTATATGGCAGGGGAAAAGACCACTCTCTTCCGATGTGGGATTGCCTTAGGAAAAGGTCCTATTGGGTAAAAGGCTGGGACTCGGTGCCGCCAGGTCAGCCAGAATTCTTCAAGTGGAGGGATGAGATCCGTAGCGATTACAACTTTGATTCTACATAAGTACTTTCCACTTGGTTTTGCNCAATCATCCCACCTCAACCCGATCCCACGGGTCTTTTGGCTGGCGATGCATTGGTTATTGGCTGCTACGATCCCGTCTCAATATCCACAGAACATGATCAATGATATCAAGAACATAATCAATGAGATCAAAATATTCAACGATATTCAATCGAAATTCTAAAATAACGATAGCACAAGTTGGAATACAAATGAGAGGATAAATCAAGAAATACTATTTGCAAAGAGATTTAAGAAGAGCATATTGCATACTACCTCGTACCTCAGAATCATTATGTGAATTCGATAACTCTGATTTCTGTTTCATTTTTCCTCCTCTCGGTTTGAACTAAAAACACCCACCAAGATTTGTTTTCTCGCTCCCTCTCTTCCACCTTTGCTCTCAGCTTAACACACACAAACACATATATATTTTTCTTCCCTTTCTTTTATTCTCCTTCACTCACAGTTTCAACAAACCAGTACATACACACATTTTTCTACATCGTATTCAATGTTAACTACCATTCATTTACTCCATAAATTTATTTATTCTTTCTCTCTCTTTCTTTTTCTTTACCTTGTCTTGTCTCTTTTATTTTTTTTTNTTCATTTACTCCATGAATTTCTTTATTCTTTCTCTCTCTTTCTTTTTCTTTACCTTGTCTTGTCTCTTTTATTTTTTTTTCCCAAAGTNCTTTCTTTTTCTTTACCTTGTCTTGTCTCTTTTATTTTTTTTTCCAAAGTCTTCACGTGGGTGAAGACCAAAGAATCATAAAAGTTGAAATATTTACATTTTACTCCCCTTTGTTTCACTTATTATATATATCAACCCTTTAACTTAAATATTCCTTATTCTTTCACATCAAAACTCATAATATTTTATACTTAACTACCTCTAAAAATTTGGAATCTCACAGTCTCATCTCATTTCATGGCATGATTTGCTAAGATTTCAACATTGAATAATATATTCTTGGTTGGGACGTTGTTGGTGGTAAAGTGTTGCATGAACATTCATATGCACTTAAATTAGGGAATAGCCTTAGTAGGAAATACTCTATTGGGCGTGGNATTTTATACTTAACTACCTCTAAAAATTTGGAATCTCACAGTCTCATCTCATTTCATGGCATGATTTGCTAAGATTTCAACATTGAATAATATATTCTTGGTTGGGACGTTGTTGGTGGTAAAGTGTTGCATGAACATTCATATGCACTTAAATTAGGGAATAGCCTTAGTAGAAAATACTCTACTGGGTGTGGCTCACCTTATACGGGAAAATGCTTCAAATGTGGGACATACATCGGTGGAAGGCCCTCACATGGGACCCCAAGGTTTAAGAAAGCCAAAATGTGGCTTTATTTTGAGTTTTGTAAAACAATTATGAAATTTCTATTTTGGTATATAAATACATTGAATTGAATGTAATAGAACTTGTATGGACCATATATTACATGAAAAACTTCATTATACATATGTTGGATGGAAATAATATGCTTAGGAGTGAGTTGAAAATGAAAAGTAGGTGAAATAGACAAAAGTGGGCAAAGAGTACCAGTACAACGATGTCCAATGGGTTAATTGTATCGGTACAGATGTTGACAGTACCGGTGCAGTCTTGTCCAGAAGACTCACAGTACTGATACACAGTACCAGTACTTTTTCTAAAATTTTGAAATTTTAAAATTACCTTCCCAAGCCTTTGGGCTATGGATTTTTGGGTTCCAAGAATATAAATGGACTATAATGGAGTATGAATTGTAGTACATTGCACCACGGTTGGATGAAATGATAAAATGCACACGGGTTTTACGTGTGGGTTGAAATCCCAGTAAAAAAGATATTATTAACGTGGCAACAAGTTATGCGACAATTACGGATATTTTTGCGGGTTGACGAATGGTTAACAATTAACAAATGACCCCAGGTTTTAAGATCGTCACGGAAATTAATTTTGGATTAAGAAATTCATGCCCAATTAATTAAACGAAATTTTTTCCAAAAAGATAGGACTTGGTATAAACCACACCCGAGCCTGAACCCGGCCGATCGAGCGGCGCGCACGCACGTAATAGAACTGAAGGCATGTAGGTGCTCGTTCCACTCATAAAATTATGGTACCCCTTGGAGCTCAATCCCATAAAATAAATTTNTGGTTAACAATTAACAAATGACCCCAGGTTTTAAGATCGTCACGGAAATTAAATTTTGGATTAAGAAATTCATGCCCAATTAATTAAACGAAATTTTTTCCAAAAAGATAGGACTTGGTATAAACTACACCCGAGCCTGAACCCGGCCGATCGAGCTGCGCGCACGCACGTGATAGAACTGAAGGCATGTAAGTGCTCGTTCCACTCATAAAATTGTGGTACCCCTTGGAGCTCAATCCCATAAAATAAATGTGGCATATGTATGTCCATCTAGAACTTCTTCCTCAATCAATGTGGGATTGATATCAAATCTTACATTGCACAACTTTTATTTTCACATTTCAAGAGGTTCATTTTAGAGCCTATTTTTTCATTTATTTCTTAGTTGATTTGAGCAAATAAATATACTATATTATTCTCCTCACAAAATAGAATATGAACCCACAAAAATTTACTAGAAACAATGAATGGATCCTACTTTAATTTAGGTTCAAAGTTGACAAAAAAATTAGTTTTTATACTTAAAATTTTGTTTTGTGAAACTGTTTTTGGTCCAATAGTACCAACCGTCACAAAGTATTTTCCAAGAACTTGTAGAAGTCACCAAGTCTTTTCCAAAGACTTTATGGCACTAACATTACCAACAACGAAAGCGCGATGGAAAGATATGTTTTTACAATATTTTGCTAAGGCAATTGATCTACTATATGATTTACTTTTAGGCTATAGGAATACACCATGGTCCTGTCTTCAGGGACCATTTTCCCTCTCTCCACCTATGCCACATTTTCAACTACCATGGTCCCAATCTAATCACATGCTTGCGCATGCAATGACTAAATCAGCTAAGAATTATTTCATCATCTTCTCAAATCTTCTATAAAAAAATAAAATTTTTTTGATGACCCCTTGTGCAAGCCATGGCTCATCCAATGGTCACTGGTAGAAATGGATTATGGAATATTCCAACAATATTATCTAATGAACTAATGATAAAAAAAAAATGTTGAGGGGCTTATTCGATAAGTTTAGGGGATATTAATGTATTTGAATGAAAAGTAAAACCAAATGACAAGTTAGAAAATAATTCGAAGCTTCCAAAAAGTCCTCGCCCCAGTAGCCTTTACCTCTCTTCGCCAATAGGACTCTTTCCTAAGGCAATCTCACATCGGAAGAGAATCGTCTTCCCCCCTGCCATATAAGTGAACACTTCTTATGAAGGAGGCACCCACTAGGCACCTGATCCTAGTGGGTACCTCCTCCATAGGAAGTGTTCACTTATATGGCAGGGGAAAAGACCACTCTCTTCCGATGTGGGATTGCCTTAGGAAAAGGTCCTATTGGGTAAAAGGCTGGGACTCGGTGCCGCCAGGTCAGCCAGAATTCTTCAAGTGGAGGGATGAGATCCGTAGCGATTACAACTTTGATTCTACATAAGTACTTTCCACTTGGTTTTGCTTCTTCATCATTTGGTTCTCTTCCTCAAACGGCATTTGCTTTTTCAATTGAGATACTTTGAATCAAAGGTCTCTCTCTCTCACACATACACACAGAGAGTGTGCATTAGCATACAGTTATGTATTGATTTGCACTTTTTGTTTACTATAATGTTTTTTGGGTTCAGTGGATAGAAACTATTGGACTGAAATATCCATATGATTGGTAGTGAATTGGTTTCTTTGACTCCTTGTATTGGCAAGTAGAAATTCTGATGATACTGATTACTTCCATGTCAATGAGATTCATTTCGTTCTTAAAGTCTTATGTTTTTTCCTTAGACTTTTTAGATCAACGGTTGGGTTCATAATAACTGGTATTAGAGCGTATCACATCACAACAAGTTCCAGTCACGGAAGGAGTGACCTATTGGCGAAATTAAAATGTGTTATTATTATGTATGAGCATAATGCTATCACGTTGAATACTTATAAGTGGGTTACTGCCGTGGACGTTGGCTCTGAGTGATGAAGCATTACGTTCAAATAGTTATGACCCCTAACTTTCCCCAAGTCCTGGAGCCTTTTGGATCAACGGTTGGATTCATAACAATTTTGTTTAAAAATGTATCTTCTTTGTTTTTTTGATCAAATTTCAGGTAATTGGAGATGAGAGTTCTTGGGTTGCTTCTGTTGGCAATTTTGTGGGTTCTTGTGAGCCTTGAAGGGACAGTATCGCATGGTGATCATCCATTTTCGAAAATCGCGATACATAGGATATTATTTGTTATCAATGACCTTGCCTATGTTAAGGCCTCCCCACCAGTTCTTGGATTGAAGGTACTGGTCTTTTCATCTCAGAAATCAAAATTCACTGCACATTTCATTTGGAAAAGAGATAGTTAGTGCTTTATATCCTAAAGAAATACGTTAAAAAGAGACAGTTAGTGCTTTTATCCTAAACAAATGCATTGAGTTTGTACCATCTACATATTAGTATAGGTTCTTCACAGTGGTAAAATCATATGCAGTTCTGCCTGCCGGGTATGCACTAAGGCAACAACTGAAATTCGTAAAAAAATAGCAAAAAATTGATGTAATTTTGGACTGATGCAAGAGTACTTCTCTGTTCTAGGGGCAAAGTTCGGATTGGGTGACTTTAGAGTATGGAATTCCAAACCCATCAACCGATGATTGGATTGGAGTATTTTCTCCTGCCAATTTCAGGTAAAATGAATGCTTTTTATGTCATTCCAAATTTTGACTCCTGCTGAATCTCATTCCTTGTAGATGGTCTAATGTAATTTGAATGTGATAAGCTAATTGGAGTCAGTTCAATCGCACTATTTTTCAGTGCTTCCACTTGCCCCCCTGAAACTCCAAGAGCTTTTCCACCATTTTTGTGTACTGCACCAATTAAGGTTTGAACTGTTCTGCTTCGCCATAAACGTTTTGTATGTCCATTGTCTGCTTTTTGTTCAAGGGAATTCTAAAATTAATTGTCTCACTTCTCTTGCAGTTTCAATATGCAAATTATACCAATCGTAAGTACAAAGACACAGGAAAAGGATTGTTGAAGCTCCAATTGGTCAACCAGAGATCAGACTTTTCTGTTGCTCTATTTTCTGGTGGATTATTAAATGTATGCTTGTAGCTCTCCTACCCTTGTCCTCCAATCTCTAGTGTACCAAATAGTTTGTTTTCTCACACGAATAATGAGAACCACGGATTGTTATGTTGGCTTATCATATTCTTCTCTAATGTTAGGAGGCATGGTCTTTATGGTCTTTGGTTGTCGATTAACTGATTTGTGGATTTTAAGAAACTACGTATAGTTCCCGGTGCTGCTTGATGAATTATAATGGTCTGGACTTATTTTCAGTCTGAAAACCTCTGGGAAAATGTTTGAGTCGGATTATGCGTACTTTGAATTTTCAGTTTCTCCCTATCAAGTGGAGTGAAGAGAATATTTCTAATTGAATCTCATAGTAATTCCAGGATATAGGATCCAATTGTTTCTTCAGTCTGATTATTTCCAAGAACTAAAACAAGGGTTTGACTGAAAAAGTAATAACAGAAAGCAGGGTTCAGGATGCAATTCCCTTAGTCCCTGGAAGTGCCACAGATTTGTGCTAGGCCCTAGTTATCAATAGAGAATTTTGGTTGTTCTTTCATTTAGATCCTTTCCTTTCAGTTCTTTTTCTTTCTCTCATATAATTAAGTTTTTTTTTTATTTTTTTATTTTTATTAGGAGTGTTGATCTGAGAACTATGTCCCCTTTTGCAATCCAACCATGACCAACCTTTGCTGCAACATGATTTGTTTCTTTGTAAAACAGCCAAAGCTTGTAGCAGTGTGAAATACAGTTTGCTTTTGTCAAATATGTTCCTTATTTTTAGTTCTACCATGACTAACCTTTGCTGCAATATGATTTGTTTCTTCATAAAACAGCCAATGCTGGTAGCGGTGTCAAATACAATTGCTTTTGCAAATCCATATGCACCAGTTTACCCACGCTTAGCACAAGGGAAAATTTGGAACGAAGTAAGCTTACTTTCTCTCATATTGGGGGTTCTGTAACGGTACATGGCATATGATGAAGTTTAGGAGCTCCCTATGATGATATTTATTTGTACGCAAAATTGTCTCTTGCAGTACACAACAAAGAATTCTATAAATTTTCGTACTATCCTTTATTCTAGTTGTGGGTTTAACAAATTTTGAGGAGATATTACATGGATACTCAGATGACTGTAACATGGACAAGTGGATATGGAATCAATGACGCAGAGCCTTTTGTTGAATGGGCTTCACAAGGAGGAAGACAGAGACGTTCCCCAGCTGGGACACTGACTTTTGACCGGAATAGCATGTGTGGTGTGTATGATGTATTTATTGTTGAGCTCTATTTATATTTATATGGTTGGGTATTGTCTAGGCTTCTATGACAGTTATCTAGGTGAAATTGTGGAATGCTAGTGCTGCTGTCACTACATGGACATGACCAATAGTAGAAATGACATATAGAGAAGGACACAATTCTTTGTTTGCACATCTCTTATATTTATAGCCATTGCATATCCTCAAATAAGGATTAACACGAGACAAGTGTTATTTGGAATACCATTTTTGAATTCTTTTGTCAGTCAGGTAGAACGGGTTTATGGAGAATTTTTCTATTGATTTGTTAAAAAAAAGGCTCAACCAAAAGCTTTCGTGCTAACTTAGTATGGTAGATATCCATCTTATAATCTCTATACACAGGTGCACCAGCGCGGACTGTTGGTTGGCGCGATCCTGGATTTATTCATACCGTTTTTTTGAAGGAGCTGTGGCCTAATTCATTGTATGTCATCTTTTCCTTGAATATTAAAATTGTCATAGATCAACTATCAGAAGTTTGGCAAAAATCGCTTGTTTCCTATTACTTCAAGTAGTTCAGTTTTTGTTCATTACAAGGATTAGAAACAGCAACTTTAATAGGATGCCTGGGGGAGGAAAGCATTTACTCCTATTATGATTTAGGGCAAACTTCTTTTAACCCACTTGTGGTTTGCCAGACATGCACATCACCTCCTGTCATTTCAAAATATGCACATAACTCCCTTGTGTTATTGGACTCAACTGCAACCTTTACAAATTCCGTCATTTGGACGGATTTTGTGATACATGCGCCTAACTCAAAAGTGGGTTTAAAAAACTTTAGGTCAAAGTTAATCTGTAAAATGACAAAGATGCCCTAGAAATTTTAAAAATTAAAAAGTATCTCACCCCCAACAATCATGAAAACTAGTTTGTTTTTAGAAAAAGCTTTGGAAGGAATGCAAAATGTAAAAGTCTCTCTCTCAATGAATGGTTCTCTTGAAAGAAATTAATTCCGAAACATCTAATTATGAAGACACTAAAAAAAGGTGATTTATTTTCACCAGATGAGTTGGACTACCAAAGATATAAAGAGTCAGTCATAGGAGTATCATCGAGGAGTTTGCTTTCAGCTGTAAGCTTTCCCTTTTGTCTTAACAAGACATGTGCTTCATATTGATTATGCAGGTATACCTACAAACTAGGCCACAGATTGTTCAATGGTACATATATTTGGAGTCAGACGTACAAATTTAGGGCATCTCCTTATCCTGGTCAAAACTCTGTCCAACGTGTGGTTATTTTTGGCGATATGGGAAAGGTTTGGACTCTTCTGCTAGCTATCAAGCATATTATATGTGAACCACCATTCCTCCCCCCCGACTCATGATAGTTATGATCTATTGTCTGTCTGATTTGAAATATATCTTTTCGAGGAATTTCTCCAATATATCATTTGTTCCTTGGAAATTCAACACATCTATGTAATTTTGTCTGACTGTTAAGATAGTATTTTCTTCTCCACCAACCCTTTCATTTTTCTATCGCGTGCTTGATCTCCCAATGAAGTTCTCATGTTGGAATACGTACCAGTTATTTTCTTCCACCAAATTCAGTTTTCATCGACTTTCTTGCGCAGTTGAGTAATTATTATATATGCAGCTTGGCATTACATGATCACATGTCCCTGTTGTGTTCTAATTTGGAGATAACGAAGCTTAACACCACATAGCTACTTGGCATCTACTTCTGAAGACTGTTTCTCCTGTCCATGTTTCATGGTGCAGGGCGAGGCTGATGGATCCAATGAATATAATAATTTCCAGACTGGCTCCCTTAACACTACCAGACAACTTATTCAAGACTTGAAGAACATTGATATAGTCTTTCACATTGGAGATATATGTTATGCCAATGGATATGTTTCACAGTGGGACCAATTTACTTCTCAGATTGAGCCAATTGCCTCAACTGTACCTTATATGATTGCAAGGTATGTTGCATGTTTTTTTGCAAACCTGTAGCCCCGTCGTGGACTGATCTTCTGCTATGTCTTGTGTGGCAATTGATGACTAAAATCTGCAGTGGTAACCATGAGCGCGATTGGCCCGGAACTGGATCGTTCTATGGGAAAATGGATTCAGGAGGAGAATGTGGTGTGTTGGCAGAGACTATGTTTTACGTCCCTACTGAGAATAGAGCAAAGTTCTGGTATGGGGGTATCATGATAAAATCTGTTAAATATATGTTGATCTGTTATGCACATTGATGCATATATGAACTTGTTACATTGTTTGGAAACAAATTATTAAGGTTTTGAACATTTTATCTCTGCATCTTGATATTGTTACTTGGATATCTGTGACAAAATATATTCAAACTTCTCATCTAGTGACTAGCAATATGATTTTAATGCAATTGTGTCAAACCGAATTCTTCATTTGGTGAGAATCACTTGTATAGGGAAATTAACTCCAGCGTTGTTGTACATGTGAGCTCTTCCTGTTAACTTCAGGATGACAGCACCCTCTCGTTCTTCCACTGAAAACTCTTCTTCTTCTTCTTCTTCTTTTAACTATGATAGTTGAAATTGTCAGATTTTTTTCAATAATTGGGTTGTATTGTTATCATCATCATTGGTTTCCTTGCTTTTTGACCAAGGAGTATTGGTTACGAACAGCATTTTGTGTGGATATTTGATTTTCCCAAAAAAAAAAGACACCTGATAGAAAAAGAGAAGAAGGGGGGAAGGGGTGCTACTGTTTGGATCAGTGTTTGTGTTTGTGTTTGTGTTTCACTTGTTTCGTGTCATATGTCTGATTGGTCTTTACTGTTGTTTTCTTCTTCTACCAGGTACTCCACTGACTATGGCATGTTCCGCTTTTGCATAGCTGATACAGAACATGATTGGAGAGAGGGAACAGAGCAATATAGGTTCATTGAGCACTGTCTGGCTTCTGTGGATAGACAGAAGCAACCATGGCTGATCTTCCTTGCACACAGAGTATTGGGTTATTCCTCTGATGCTAACTATGTTCTAGAAGGATCATGTGCAGAACCAATGGGGAGGAAGAGCCTTCAAAAACTATGGCAGAAGTACAAGGTCGATATAGCCATGTTCGGTCATGTACACAATTATGAAAGGACATGCCCAATTTACCAGGTATCCTCGTAACTTCTTCTTACTTTGCTGCATTTTACCCAATCTGGAAACCTTTTAAAGTTGCTTCAAAGAGAAGAAGTTACTACCTTTCCCAATCCACCTATACTCACACAAGAAATCAAGTATGCGTTGAACCAGGAACACAGTTTAGATAGATCGATAATACCTGTTTGACTGTTGGCCTTTGTGTTGCTACAGAATATTTGCACAAATGAAGAGAAGCAGTATTATAAGGGCGCATTGAATGGGACAATACATGTGGTTGCTGGGGGTGCTGGGGCAACCCTTTCACCATATTCTTCCATACAACCCAAGTGGAGTATATTCAGGGATTTCGACCATGGATTCACAAAACTAACTGCATTTGATCATTCAAACCTGTTGTTTGAGTACAAGAAAAGCAGTGATGGGAAAGTTTACGATTCGTTCAGAATATCCCGGGATTATAGAGACATCTTGGCCTGCACTGTGGATAGCTGCCCAAGTATGACCCTAGCATCTTGAGTTGGATAGAAAGGAAAACTTCTCTTTGTGAATTTTATCCATATATCAATCAGCTCAATCCCCATCCTTACACCCCAAAACTGCAGTGGAGAGAAATTTTAAGTTTTTTCGTTTTTCTGAATAAAAAACAGCACCTCCTATGTATGTTCCTTGCAGTACCCGAAAAAATATGAACTTCTGGCAAGTGTGTACACTCTTATTTATCATAGTGTTTCCTTCCATGTCTTCTTTTTAGCACTACTACTAATTTGAGAGAGAATAATACACTCTAAACGGATGGATGACTAATACATACCATCATTAGAGCATCTCTAACAATAGAAGTTAGTTTAGCCACCAAAAAAAATAATATTTTTTATATTTAGTTATTCACTTTTTCAATACACTCTCGAACAAATTTTTTATATTTTTAACTACTTCATTTAAATATTATTTCTCATTTTTTTTATATTTTTTTTTTCAGAATAGTGAAAGGGAGAAAAAAAGAGAAGGAAGGAAAAAAAAGGAGGAGAGAGAAAATATTGTAAAGAATTTGTACATATTACTACATTGATTCTTTAAATATAGAGGATCACTTTAACAAAATATTATTCTACATATTTTGGAGATATTATGTTTGAATAGAATTTTTGGACAAAATAGCTAAATTTTGAAATTTTTGTGTCCTTTACTCTTTGAGATGTTCTTACAAATTGACCTCCTAATCTCGTAGGTAGGAGAGTTAGAGGAGACGAACTATTTTAGCTAATTAGGATTTTGTGTTTATGATAAAAACTGAGGGTCGATGAGATTACTATTACATTGGTTTTGATGTTCTGAATATTCTCTTTAATAAGGCGGTCTTGTCTGAGTTCTTCACTGTACAGAATTTTTACTCGAAAAATTGAAGCACAATTATAATTTTATATCTTTTACTATAACCAAAGTCGTAAGGTACTTTTTTGTTTTTTATTCTTTTAAGTTCAATGATGACCCTTATGTTTTTTCGTGGAGTGCATAATTTTTTTTCAAAGACTTCGATTTTTGTTCTTGGTTTTCGGGCCCCTTTCAATCTTTTTTGTAGTGGAGAAAAATTTTAAAAAAAAAACAAAAAACAAAAATTGACCATCAAGAAATAAAATAAAAGCCCAAAAAAGCAAATTCAATTTTGAGATTTATTCAAGGCCTCATTTTAGTCTCCAAAATCAGATAATAGAGCAATGGGCATTACTTGTCCGGGTTAACCCAATCCAGAATCTCGTGGTCTGTAATGTCGTTACACAAAATATCCGTACCAAACAGGACCTTTTCAAACTGAGTTGGCGCATGTTTTCAACACCCCCTCAACCTGAGGACGATTCATCTTCTGTGTGATTGCGTGTGTGGACTTGTTTTGGGTTTCTTTGTTCATCTTTTCATCGAGGGCTTGATGGGTTTTCTACTTCTGAGGATTTGAGTTTGTACAATGTTCAATGTTATGTGGTTTTGCTGGAAAATTTAAAGAACTTGGGTGGTGTTGTTTTGTAAAGGCAGTACCAGATATCTATCTATATATATATATATATATATATAGAGAGAGAGAGAGAGATGGATTTATGGGTTGTTGCAGCAGCTGCGGGAGCTGGGTATTTAGCCAAGTACCGGCAAAACCTATCAGGTGAAAAAGATGGATTGCCGGAGACTTCTTCCTGGAATTCGATTCACCGGCGGCAGTCAGAGTCCCCGGCCAGTAATTTGCTGCAGCAAATGCGGGACTCAACCTGTCCATTGCGCAGATTGGCACGGAAAAGCTTTGATAGAGATATTTCAGAGAGGGGTGATAGTGGTGAAGCTTCAGAAGGAGTAGCCTCTACTAGTGGAAGGGAATGGTTTCAAGAGAGAATCAATGAAAAGAGTGAGTTTTTCAACACCTCTGGTAATGTACTATATGAATCTAAGACTGAAGAAATTAGTGCCTTCCATGGTGATGGTAGGATTAGGAGGATGACAAGGTCTCTCAGAAGTAGGTCTAGTGGTTATTCTGTAAGGCCATCAACTTCTTTAGAAAGTTGCCTCGTGGCTCAGCTGTATAGAGAGCACGAAAAGAAAGAAGAACATGTTTTCAGTTCTCTTCCATCACCATCTACTAATTCCAATAGGCCTTTGTTGTTAACTGATGGGAGACAAAAAATTAGCAGAACTAGTAATGATTTATTTGGTGCAAGTTTGGACAGTGGGGAAGATAAGCTTCAGAGGGAAAATGGTGTCTTCTTGGAGGAAAATGATGCATTGATGGGACCTCCAACCCTTGGGCAAATTGGATTGATGGATCTCCCAAGGAAACAAAGGCAGAGGCATGACAAGAGCCGGCAGAGCAGTTACAGCACTGAGCTATCTGGCAAATCATTCCTTTCACAAGGTTGTTCTCTCTTCACAAGTTTTCATGAACTTGATTTGGCACGTCTGGCAATTTTTGTTATTTCATTATCTAGAAGTTCACGTATCTTAAATGGGTCGAATGATTTTCTTGAGGACATCTAAGTTTTTAAATATTTTCTCACAATCGATTGAACTTCATTCAGAAATCATCTAACCAGTCAAAAATTGGATTTGTTTTTTTTCTTTTTCCCNAGAGAGAGAGAGAGAGATGGATTTATGGGTTGTTGCAGCAGCTGCGGGAGCTGGGTATTTAGCCAAGTACCGGCAAAACCTATCAGGTGAAAAAGATGGATTGCCGGAGACTTCTTCCTGGAATTCGATTCACCGGCGGCAGTCAGAGTCCCCGGCCAGTAATTTGCTGCAGCAAATGCGGGACTCAACCTGTCCATTGCGCAGATTGGCACGGAAAAGCTTTGATAGAGATATTTCAGAGAGGGGTGATAGTGGTGAAGCTTCAGAAGGAGTAGCCTCTACTAGTGGAAGGGAATGGTTTCAAGAGAGAATCAATGAAAAGAGTGAGTTTTTCAACACCTCTGGTAATGTACTATATGAATCTAAGACTGAAGAAATTAGTGCCTTCCATGGTGATGGTAGGATTAGGAGGATGACAAGGTCTCTCAGAAGTAGGTCTAGTGGTTATTCTGTAAGGCCATCAACTTCTTTAGAAAGTTGCCTCGTGGCTCAGCTGTATAGAGAGCACGAAAAGAAAGAAGAACATGTTTTCAGTTCTCTTCCATCACCATCTACTAATTCCAATAGGCCTTTGTTGTTAACTGATGGGAGACAAAAAATTAGCAGAACTAGTAATGATTTATTTGGTGCAAGTTTGGACAGTGGGGAAGATAAGCTTCAGAGGGAAAATGGTGTCTTCTTGGAGGAAAATGATGCATTGATGGGACCTCCAACCCTTGGGCAAATTGGATTGATGGATCTCCCAAGGAAACAAAGGCAGAGGCATGACAAGAGCCGGCAGAGCAGTTACAGCACTGAGCTATCTGGCAAATCATTCCTTTCACAAGGTGGTTCTCTCTTCACAAGTTTTCATGAACTTGATTTGGCACGTCTGGCAATTTTTGTTATTTCCTTATCTAGAAGTTCACGTATCTTAAATGGGTCGAATGATTTTCTTGAGGACATCTAAGTTTTTAAATATTTTCTCACAATCGATTGAACTTCATTCAGAAATCATCTAACCAGTCAAAAATTGGATTTGTTTTTTTTCTTTTTCCCTTTAGGCCTCTGCAATCTTCACTCGACAATGTTCCATGTTCATCAAAAGTTAAATTAGGTAATCAACTTGTTGAATTGAATGAGCTAGTATGCTGGCACTGAGTTCTTTATTGCCATTGTATGTCTTGGTTCCTTTTGTGGGAGGCTGGCTGTGCCTAGCTGCCACAATTGTGTATGAAAGAGGCCTGTAATTTGTCAACTAGAAACTAAGAGATTAAATAATCTGTACGGATTGAACACCTTTATGAGCCTTGCCCGTTGAAGACAAAAGAAGACAANAGTTCACGTATCTTAAATGGGTCGAATGATTTTCTTGAGGACATCTAAGTTTTTAAATATTTTCTCACAATCGATTGAACTTCATTCAGAAATCATCTAACCAGTCAAAAATTGGATTTGTTTTTTTTCTTTTTCCCTTTAGGCCTCTGCAATCTTCACTCGACAATGTTCCATGTTCATCAAAAGTTAAATTAGGTAATCAACTTGTTGAATTGAATGAGCTAGTATGCTGGCACTGAGTTCTTTATTGCCATTGTATGTCTTGGTTCCTTTTGTGGGAGGCTGGCTGTGCCTAGCTGCCACAATTGTGTATGAAAGAGGCCTGTAATTTGTCAACTAGAAACTACGAGATTAAATAATCTGTACGGATTGAACACCTTTATGAGCCTTGCCCGTTGAAGACAAAAGAAGACAATAATTGAAGTCTACAGCGTATTAGGCTGAACAAAGGAATTTGTAGACATGATGAGACCCAAACAGAGAATAACTGTAATTAAAGCTTGAGTACACTTGTTTATACACAAATATCTTATAAAATTTATTTGTGCATTTTGCATCCCAAGGAAAATGCTTTGGTGACAGATGATAAGGCTAAAACGTGGACAAAGTTTCCTTTTATCAGAAAAGGCTACAATTTGTTGATAAAGTTATGTGGACGACAAAGTATCGAAATAGATAAAGGAAAGAGATATATAAATAGATGGAAAGGCTTTCACCTACACAAATCTAAGCTATATCCTAGTCACTCCAAGTATGATACGACTTTAATTTAGAGACATACTCTAGATTTTATAGGGAGATTGATTGAGAAAAGGCGAATACCTAACTAAAACCAGACTTTAGTGGTCAATGAAGATTAATTAGGCATATCCACAGGAGATCATTGCTTCTTTCATCCTTTTTTTTAATGACAGTGACTATGGATTTTTCCTTCCATGAAAAAATGAGGCTATGTAGGTCATGTTGCTCATAATATTTTTGTGGATCAGGTGGAATGGAAATTTATGTCTAATACAGCTGTAATTAACATATTTTGTTTGAATTTTTGAAAAATGTGTATGACAGCAATGACTAACTCTATCTAATGTTGGGGTCTGGACTGCGAAGTTGAAAATCAGCACAGGTGTAACCACTATATTGAAGATCTATGTCCCTGGACTAGTGTCAAAACTCGAAACATATTCAATGGCCACATTGCATACCAATGATCTACACATTGGTCTCATGCCAAAATTGATATCTTGCATGCATACATGGCAGTTAGGTTTAACTTGGCATAATTGCAGGATACAAGTACTCTCTTTCCCTAGTATGTCACTTGACAAAGGGCAAAATTTTGCCTTAATTTGGCGAACAATATTGAACTGTTCAGGAATCTGTCTTCCTGGTTGATTATTTGACATCTACCATTACACATTATTTCTCGTGTTGGTTCCTTTTCTGATTGCACTTGGTTTAATATCATTCTAATACTATCATCAGGACTGTCCAATGGAATGCTTCTGTTCTTTATTGGGATCACTATTGGCATTGTGTCAGCCACTGTGTCAAATAAAAGAGAAATGGATAAGCTAAATGAGTCACTGAAACAAGCAGAGAATTTGGTTCATGATTTACATGAGGAACTTGAGATGAAAGATGTGCTAACTGTGAAGGAACTAGCCAATGAGGGTCATCAATTTCCAAAAATAAAAAGTCGCTCCTTGTTGAATAAGGAGGAAGTCATATCATCCTCCGAACAATTGGATGAATCTTCCAAATACGATAGCAAAAAGTCGAATGACCAGGACGCTGAGTTGATGAGTAAAATTGAGGCAGAGCTTGAAGCAGAACTGGAGAGGCTTGGATTAAACATGAAAACGTCTAGTCTGGAAAGAATAGCGGATATTGTTGAGGTAAGCAGACATGTAACTATTGGATAATCGCTTAGCTACTGAATACTATATCTAATATTGGTAGTTTATAAGCATTCATATCTGAACATACGCCCTTTTGCAATGCTTTCCAAGAAACTAAATCTATCATGAATTCTAAGTAATGCTTTATCTTTCGATGCTGGATACTGTTGTAATTCAGTATGCTGACCCATATTTCAAGCTCTTTCCAGCAATTTGCAGACTCAAGATGTTTGCTAACAGCATAGGAGTTTGGATGAGCATTTGCCTGGCGTTCGTTTTCATTTTTTCTGCTCTAATTCTTTATGCAGCCTCAAGTAGAAACTTGAAACGCCGACTTAATCTCTCTGCTTCTTATGGAGCAATGCCTTCTCTCCAAGACTAATCCCCCTTAACTCGGGTGNCTGCTCTAATTCTTTATGCAGCCTCAAGTAGAAACTTGAAACGCCGACTTAATCTCACTGCTTCTTATGGAGCAATGCCTTCTCTCCAAGACTAATCCCCCTTAACTTGGGTGGAACTTTTTTTTGGATTGAGATGAGAGGGTGCACATTCTAACCCAGAGCCTGCTGGTGTATATAACCTGTGTATTTCAGCTTCTGAGTGATAATTTCATCATTACAATTTACAAGCATTAGCGCTCCCTCTCTGGCATGTTGCAAAATCTTGTTTGGTCATTTATCCCAGTTCATAGTCTCCCATAAATGCTTCCTTTACTTCATAAAATTCTCATATACAGTGCACTATTCTAGGCTTCACTTTCTCGTTTTCTTTATCCGAAATGCGCTGTGCTTTGAATTCCCATACATTCTCTTACTGATGAAGTAAACCATCCACTTGACTCTTGCGCAATTCCACTCTCTTTCTGCTCCTTACATTTGTTGCATTTTTAGTCCATGAATGAGAGTGTACTTATCGCTCATTTGCTTGACGTTATGGACCTTTTTTCATGACATATTTTCAAATCTTTAGTGCTTATCATGCACTCTAAGGCCTTCTGTTGAGGGTTTTTCGTGAACTGATTTGATATTGAAAATAAAAATGCTTTCTTCACTGGTTATCAACAACAAACCCTTCAGAAATTGTAACCGGTGAAGAGTTTAGACATGAAAAACTGTTTCTCTAACAAGAAGAAATCACTATCTTGACAAAATGTATCACCAACTTATCTTTTGCTATGTGATCTTTCAAAATAACTTANTCTGTTGAGGGTTTTTCGTGAACTGATTTGATATTGAAAATAAAAATGCTTTCTTCCCTGGTTATCAACAACAAACCCTTCAGAAATTGTAACCGGTCAAGAGTTTAGACATGAAAAACTGTTTCTCTAACAAGAAGAAATCAGTATCTTGACAAAATGTATCACCAACTTATCTTTTGCTATGTGATCTTTCAAAATAACTTATTCGTTTTTCAATAGATTAAATAGTTCGAAATACTTGGTTGCAGCTTGATCCAGACTTTGAAGCAGACATTAGTCAAGGAGACTTGAAACTAGATGTCACCAACGGGTTACATGGCGGCCTATCTGATTCAGACCATGACACAAGTGAGACTAGCACCAATCACACCCGAGAAAACCACGCAGTTTCGCCTCGGGAGCTAAGCTTGCGTCTTCATGAGGTAATTGAAACNAGACTTGAAACTAGATGTCACCAACGGGTTACATGGCGGCCTATCTGATTCAGACCTTGACACAAGTGAGACTAACACCAATCACACCCGAGAAAACCACGCAGTTTCGCCTCAGGAGCTAAGCTTGCGTCTTCATGAGGTAATTGAATCAAGGCTTGAAGCACAAATTAAGGAGCTTGAGACAGCCCTACAAGACACCCAAAAGAGGATGCATTCCCTCGGGTCGCAACACACCCTCTCTTGGAGGGGATTTGGCTCTGGCGAAGCAGAATCTTCGTCTACTCCAGAAAGTCCAAGCTTTATAATCAAAGGCAGTGACATAGACAGGCCCTTGGTGATCGATTTGTCCGAGAAAGCTCTGGATGCAATGAGGATTGTGGAGGGAGAATCAGGATAGCAAAGTAATCAAGAAGAGTGCAGATGCTACATCTGATGAAAACCATGGATTGAAGATCATTGAAGAAAGATGGAGCATTGAGAAGTCATGGATTGAAGATGCCTTAGAAGCTTTTTGGGCTATGAAAGCCAGAAGTTATGGTATTGGCTCAAGGATCCGATGCCTAATGCAAGTGAGCACCGCCCGTGGCGGGGCCGGGGGGGGTCAGTTATTCTCGCAGTTCAGATCCTAGCACAAGCCCCATTGGGAAGCACAAAACATGCTGTCGAGCTTCACTAAAAATGCGAGAGCCTTACAATCTTTCAGAGTCGCCTATTTTTGGAGGGAGAGTAATTTCCTTTGCTTGGATTTGACTTCCATGTCTGATATAACAGTTCTTGTAGAAAAAAAACCCAATCTAGCTGTGTAAATTTGAATGCTACTCCCTCTTTGAACAACGAATATCAGAATCTATGGTAGAAACTAAATATACGGGAACAGAATGAAAATGAAGAATGACCTCCCTCAGCCTTAAGGTGAACCAGAAGAGTGGAATATGAAGTGGTCAGAGCTGATCAGCTGCATAAAAGTACAAAGATTTCAAGAAATCCCAAGGTTGCCCCAATACAATCCTAGAAAACAGCTATGAGGCATAAGGGAAACTAGGACATGCAGGTTAGGAATTCTTGAACAGAGACCAAACTTTGCCACTAACAGCCACGGAGCCACTGATTAATTCAACTAAGCTCTCCACATAGGGCATAACAGATGAAGAGAGGCATATATAATGTGTCCCTGGTAAAAGGAGAGAGATCTGTTGCTTTCCCCAAAGAAAGCTTTCACGAAGTCTAGTGCAAATTGAGCCACTGCTCTCCAAGTCGAGAGAGTGTAGGCAGAAACCCCAAAAGGACAATGAAGAGCCTACAAATGAAGAGACAATAGAATGGAGAAGGGAAGCAGACTAAGCATCACTTACCTAGCTCTTTCCACTCAAAGTAAAGAAGAAATTGTAGATGGAAAAGCTCACAAATAGTCAGATGCATATAACGCAGCCTCTCCTTGCCATTCAGACCAAGATGCAAGAGGGTATAGCAAATCAATACAGGGGCTCAGGAACTCATTGCAGAAAGATCATGAAAAGGACAGTTTCAATATAAAGCCCGTGTTCATCTTCAATAGCAATGTTCAGTTTCAACATATAGTTCCCCAGTATACAATTTACAGAGGAAAAACTTTCTTGTGTCTAAAATAAATCAAGAAAGAGGCATATAACATCCCACACAGTACCCCTGTTACAATAAGAATCCACTGGAATGTGGACGGTTCATTGAAAATTGTGTCCTCAAAGTTCATCCCAAAGACCGCGGTCACCACAGCAAATATTGTAGCTACAAAGGTAGCTGCTGTCAGAAGCAACTCAAATTGTATCAGCTGGTTTTGGACATTGCCCTGTTCACATTAATAGTAAATAGTTGACATCTTTCCTGGAAATAAATATGTACACAAGTTTAGACAAATTGTAGGAAAAGCCTATAAACAAAGTTTTATGATCATTACTAGTTTAATGTTGATCAGATCCTCCGTGTCATCAATATATTCTTTGAGCTGCACCACCAAGGGAAAAAAAAAAAAATAGATTTGTCATCAATTATTGCTTCATACAGAAGTGATTGTCATAGGCTGCTTAATAGAACTAGTGTTGCAAACTGAATGCTTCTGCAACTACAAAATTCTCTCTTTCACACCAATTTAATTCTATGTTGTAGGTCAATCTTGGTTTTCCATCAACTATAATTAAGATTCAGAACTTGTAAATTGACAAGAACAAATTAAAGATAGTCAAGCATAGGCATTCTCCCCAGCTAGTGGATTGATTGACTATGGTTTGAGCCACAGACAATTGTCTTAAAGATATAATTAGGTGAAAATTCACCTTTTCTAACTCTCAGATAGTTAAAAATGGTACTTGAAACAATACTAAAGTAGAAAATATTTTTTAAATAATGATTTGTCAGTTAAATAACTCTTACCGATGACAGTTTATGGAGGGTATTGTCAATGACAACAAAATATGCTTCAAGCAACATTTCAAGTTGATCAATATTTTCCCCACCGTTAGATGAACTAGTTAAGCTTCCAAGTTTGCTTGCATTTATGCTGCTGAAAGCCCTTTCCAATTTTCGAGCTCCATTGGCCAACCCCACAGGTGAAACAGGAGCAGATTTTGACAGCACTGTGGCCCTGCCCGAACCATTAGTTTGCTCATATAAGTCACTGGTGGGGTAAGCCTCCTTTCTTTGTTTCTTCTCTGTTAAGTACATCTCAGCCATGTCTCCATCATCATCCATAAGATGCTCTATTTCATCACAGACCTGAAATTTAATCGAGAAGCTAATGTGCAGATGAAATAAATGGTAGTTTAAATACAGAAAGGCTGAAAGAAAATTTAATTGCTTTTACCTTCTGCACTCGCTGTGTCAACGCAAGGAGGTGGCCTTTGAATCTACGAACGCGTTCTAGGTTAAGAGTACTAATAGATGATGCCAGTTCATCAAGCACTGGAAGTATCTCCATTTCCAATTCTTTTACCTACTAAATCCAGAAACTTCTTGAACATTAGATATGTAGGCTAGTAAAGTGTCAAACCTACATCAGGGAAACCTGCCAAGGATTAATCATATCCATTGACACTTGAACCCATCCTGAGGTCTTTAAAATAAGTGTGTATTGAAGATATTATCTCGATCACTAGAAATAAAGAATATTGCAACTCATGAATTCAGAGAAAGTATTAGCATGAATCTTCCATGTCAACTCATTGATACACGTTCATCAACAAGCCAAGCATCAGAGCACTGATCATTTGGGATTTTGCTTCAGTTGGGTCATTGCTGTTGCAGGTTGTAGCATCTAAATAATCAAGATGTAAACCAGTTGAACCATACGGATTGAGTAAGCTGCATACCAACTACAAATAAGCGGTACTAGTGACCATGGGACAGCCAGGTGGTAATTTTCAACATATCTAAAAACTTGGGAAATCGTCTCCAGCTAAGTATAAAAAACTAACGTATCTCAAGGCCAATTTTCATTTAGTGGGTGGCTTTCGGTTCTTTATTGTTTTCTTCCAGTTGCATATTTTACCATAAACGGTGTACCTGTGATTAGCTGTCCCTATAATTAGTCACTAATGCAAATAACATTGTACCTGAGCATCAAGAGACATGCATGTTAGCTCCAAAGCTAGCTCCAGTGCCTTGAATTCGAAAGGTAGGTCATCTGAAACAAATCAGCATCATGTTAAGCAACTCATGTAGATACATGTATTTATATGATTAGAAATATATCAAGCAGCACTGTGGTTGTCTGGTGAAAAGACAAGGAAATTCGGGAAGTTACTAATTAAACTTGACAGTGGTGATCACAAGTATATCAGACCTGAAACAGACCTTAATTACTAAAGTTTGGGCTTATAGTTTATCTAGGCCATTAACAATAATGTAGGACAAGTAAGAAAAAGTCTAACCATAAGGTGCTATCCCACAACCAACATAGGCAGGATTGAAGAGAAATATCGGGCCAACTTTCTACGTTATTTGCAAATTAGATTAGAGGAATTTATGGGATTCAGGAATTAAAAGAAGTTACAGAAAAAGGTAAGGTCTTAGGGTTCTAATTAATAAGGGAAATGCAAACGTGTAGGTTCCAAGTGGGCATTACATGGAAATAAAATCAATTTCCATGATTTCTGTCTTCTTTGAATTTGAGCTTCTTACCTACTACATCACAAATCTAGAGGAGGATGGATACAGAAACTACATGGCAAACAGAGGCAAAACAGGGGCACTATCAGAAACTGGCTACCCACTTAAAACTATAAAAACTTAATTAAACTAGTTAAGTCAGGTTTCAATTGAACTTGATCTGTGTAGGAAGGAATGCCTATCCAAATTACTCAAGCCTATCGATCACTAATCCTAATGGTAAAATCCTCTCAATTTGATCTATGGAAGTGTTTAGCTTAACATCAGCTCCTGATGGTGCTATTCTCGATTGCTTAAAGAAAGTATGAATAACAAATAATCACTACAATTTGGCACTTCATAATCGTTTATTTCAGCCAAGAAGTCTGGCAAAAATAAAATGAAAAAATATAGAACTCCTACATAAAGCATTAGAACCTAAACTTCTTAAGAGGTTTATAATATATATTTCCCTGTGATTTTGCAAACCAATAAAGCATCTGTGGAAGGCATAAGAGTGAGAATCAGTGGCATATCACAAAGTATTTTACCAGGATGATACTTGTTTGTCTGGAGCCGTTTGCACAATTCTGAATTGTATTGGAGAACACATCCATCCAATGAATTCATCAGGATAACCTCCTCAGCTGTGATTATACATCTTATCTGTTCAAGACTAACCACAATAGCATTTTCTCGGCCTAATATTGTGGAAGGATATATGAATACAGGATCCAATAGGCGAAGATCTCTGGCTGGCAAAGAGCAATGCCTCATAACAGTAGCCTTGTCGAGCTCCAAAATCTTTGATTCCCCACTTTGATCAATCTTTATCCAAGAACGACTTCCAAGACCATGGCCTCTCTTCTTCAGGCCCGGAAATGCAGACCCATCATTGTGACTACTCCCAATCCTATCTGAATGAAACCTTGGAGAGTTGTTAGAAGATGCAGATTGAGGAACATCATGAGGAATGGATGAAGCTCGTGCCATTTGCTATAACTTCTGCTCTTTAAGTTCAGCCTCAAAATTTTGCAGTGAACATACTTCGGCATCCGTACAAATCAGATGGTATTGATAATATAACTCATGATAACTGCAGACTTTTTTATGTTTAACCACAGCTATTTAAAGTGATGATTCCCATGTCCTCCCTGCATTTTTGAAGGCTGAAAAGGAAATTCAATCACCAGATCAGTTCATCATCAGAACCTAAATTATCAGACGTTAAATCAAAAAAACAGTCTCATACCTAATACATGATTGAAGCCCTTGAACTAGACGCTCCAAACGGAAAAGCATTCAATTTTTCATTGACAAAACAGATTATTTCTGGGTTGTATTTGGATCACAGAATCATATTTGACCTGAAATTCTTATTGTTTTCATCGTTTGGTAACAAAAAAATCCAATTCTACTTGTCCAGCAATTGAGATTTTGCTTTATTGTGAGACAACTTATGAGTGGTTTGAGGATATCAAATTCAAATCCAATTCTAATATGCAGGCCAAAAATTCCATAGCCAAACAAAATTTGCCTTCTTTACCTTGAGAATCCTGTAGATTAGACAAAAACAACCCTTCAATTTGGCTCACCCACATACTGATTTGTGTATACTAACATGTATATGTGTATGTATGTGTGTGTGTGTGTGTGTACAGATGAATTTCACAGGAATACATGCTCGGATTATAATTCATCAAAGAGCAAATATACATTAACAAGCTTGGCAACATTTCAAGATCAACCGAGTCAGAAAATGTCAGAATTTGCTAGCCGAAAGGCAAATTTGAACCTCCCAAAACCCTATTGACACCCATTACATCAAGTGAGGGAAAAAAAAAACCTAACTTTAAATGTAACTACATGCACAGAGATATAAACAATCATACCTTTTCGCTAAGTTGAGGATTTTGAGTGTGGACTACTGGGCTTGTTCCGTGGCTAAAACTCCAGAGAGAGAGAGAGAGTGAGAGAATTAATTGAAGCTTGAACAAAGTTTCAGGAGGGGAGTGGGTAAGAATAGAAGTGTTGGCGTTTTTACATTTTTTTTTTTCCTTTTTTGAGAATTATATTCAAATTTTCTAAAATTTATCACTTAATCACTCAGACCTCTAATATTTAAAATATTATACAAAAATCTCTTAAAGTTTGTAAACGTGTAACACTTAGACTCCCACCGTCAAATATATATCAATTAATAAATTACCTCCAAAACTCTTGAAGTTTGTAAGCGTATAATACTTAAATCTTCAAATTTAAAATATTATATTTAGACAAAAAATAATTCAATTAAATTTTGAATAATTAGAAAATACAAGAAAACTAATGATCAACACAAATTTTGAATTGCATTTACATTAAGTGTAATGCTACATAAACTTAAAAAGTAGACTTAAAAATTAGATTTGATAATTACAACCATTGATTTCACTGTAGGTCCCAGCATTTATTAGGGCCTACTACATATTCAATAGTTGAGATTATCAAATTTAATTTTTAAATTTATCTAGTATTACTCTTACATTAATTATACTGATTATTTTTGGTTGTTATCTAAATGATTGATTGCTTTTTGTAAGAACACAATATATCTTGATACAAAAGTTTGTGAATGTCATGAAACCCAAACTATCAGCTATCCATAACCAAAAAATAAATAAAAATTAGAATAACCTGAAGTTCGTAATATCTCACAAATAAAACTGAAGTTTATAAGAACTCATGTTATGTGTATATAATTTAATTAGATTACCTTGGGCAACAATTAGGCTTGACAATCGTGTCGAGTAAAACGGTTTTGTGTCGAGTGAAACGAATTTGTGTCAAAAAATCCTCTATCCTATTCGTTTATATAAATGAGTCTAACTATCACACTCATACACAAATCGTTTATTAGACGGGTTACTCAATATTACTCGTGTGTCACCTGCTAAATAAGAGGATAGTTTAGCTAATTTCAAGTCTACATGAAAAATTATTAACTCGTCACACATTACACATGTTTGATCTATTTACTATAATAATAAATCATGACTGAACAAAAAAATAAAGACAAAAAATAAATATTAAATGATTACTAAATTTGAATAATTTTGAGAGATGAGAGGTGTGAGATGAAACAGAAGCTGAGAGACCTGACTTATTTTTTAAAAATTTATTGTACCACTCTTAATGGGTTAAACGGGTTTGAAAAGAGTTTATGGGTTAAACACGAAACTGGTTCGTTTATTTCACGGGTTTGTCGAGTTAACTCATTAACCACCCGAACCATTAAGACTACACTAAAACCCGCTAAATCCATGTCGGGTTCATGTCGGTTTTACGAGTCGTGTCTAGAATTGTCAGCCCTAACAACAATGTATTTTGTGAAATTTAATTGTTTGAATTGACATGGAGATCATATTAGTTCAATATTCAATATAGTTTTTTTTTCTAATAGATCTAAGTTTAAGACCTCAATTTTATTCTATAATTCCATTAAATACAGTTAAGAAGCCGGATAAAAAATAATTGTGTCATCTCTATATATGAGGTTGAAAATAAGTACGGCTTCAATTTAAAAGTATTGTAAATCTGAAGAGTCAATAACATATAAACGAAACTATTTAAAGCATTAGCCTGCCTCCTCTATTCCCAATCCTCTAAAATGTTAATTATACTAAATGAATATATATTTTCAAATGTTACTAACTAAAAATTTTAAATTCTCATAATATGACTAAAAAATTAGTTTTTGTAAAACTAAACCCCACATAAATATGATCGGGAAGGTCCTAGTGCCATTGAAAGCTGAAAACTACCCATTCAATTTCATGGGAAATATGTTTGCATGCCTATTAATTGTCCATATTGAACTTATGACATATCATAATTTTCTATGTTATAATAGAATATTTTCTTGACATTAGAATAAAAAAAATTTGTTTCTTGTAAAACAACCTCTCTTAGCCTTTTCAAACATGAATTATTAACAACCTTTTGAAGTTCCATTCCGAATAAATGTCACTACTCTTTTGTGGTATATTACAACTCATTATTCATGATTTAGAATGTTGTCGTATTTTTCTTAGGAGTACAACTTGAGCGGGTTAATCCGAACCCAACCCAACCCGAAAAAAATATGACTTAAGTTGAGGTTTTTAATACTTGGGTTGAAAAACGTCAACCCAAATTGAATTTGGACACTATCTGGGTTGAGACCTCGACTTATTGTGTTCAATCCGAATATTAAATCAGGTTCAACTAAATATTATGATTAAACATTGAGTACAATATACTTTTTTATGTTTATTTGGCTATTATGTTAATTTGACTATTATGTCTTTATGTTAAGAAAAAGTGTAATTTAGTTTTGTCCAATATATTTTTTTATGTTTTAAATATTATGGTCTTTTTTATTAAACATTTGATTGAAGTTACTAGTTGTTCCTTCACGTGAATACTATGTAATATATACCAGATTTAAAACAACAGACTAATTTCGGGCTTGAACAAACCCAACCCAACCCAAATTTAAACTCGGAATAAATTCGAATTTGACTCGAATCCGTTCGAATTTAACTTGGGCAATACTTAAATTGAGTACCTCGGGGTTGAAGATTTTATAGTTAGGGTTGACCATTCAATTCGCCCCTAATTTTTCTTCACTTATGAACACCAATGTGTCAATCCCACCAATGTGATTTTACAAATCCTATGTGCAACGAATATTAGTTAACGTGAAATTTCAACGAGAAAATGAACGAATGGAATGAAAAAGATTTCTCACGTACTTTATGCTTTAGAAGCTACAAGTTATGGGCAAAACTATAGTTTTGCACCTATTCAATTGTTTTATCAAGTTTAATTAGTCTTGAATTTTTACTATTAACACAATATTGTTGGTATTTTAACATGAATTTACACAACAAAAGTGAAAACTCACAATCCATATTACAAAAAATAATTAACAAAAATAAAAAAAAAAATAGTTCATATGCAACGTATATATGCAATAACTAATTATTAAAAAAAAGGAGTGACAAGGTTTAAACCCGTGATTTTAAATTGCAATAGTAGAGGCAACTGTCATTAAGGCAACAGCTAACATCTTTTGAGTCATAGTTTCGATTATTTGAAATGCCAAGGAAAAAAAACAGTAACTGTCAAATATAAGTGAATTGACCTACATGTGTTATAAATTCGTATGAGCAATGTTTTATAGGCTAATTTGGAGACCTAATTAACAACTAATTCAATTAGGAAAAAAAGGTTTTGGAGGAAAAGAAATAGAGAAAATAGAAGAAGAAAAAATGTTTTTGAGCAAAACAAAATTAAAAAACAAAAAAAGGTCTTGGGAAGATAAAAATTGAGTATAAATTTAGTTGTATCCATTGGAGATGTCTATATTAAATTAAATTTTTAATTTAAATTTGAGTTTGAGTTAACATTGGAGATGTCCTTATGACTAAAACAAAACAATACACATACCATCATTTATGGATATTACATATTACGAGAGATTACGAGTTTATCTTGTACAATCTGTTGTTTTTAATGTCTGAGTCGTAACAGTCTCACTCTCACACAAAAAAATATTTCACCTTTTGTTTTAATCGTCTCTATTTCACTATATATATATATATATATATATATATATATATATATACACACCATCTCTTTTTGCTCTCTTTATTAATCCAAAAAATGTATAAATATTTAAGAATCTTTACATATTATTAACTAATATATTTCCGTNTTGCTCTCTTTATTAATCCAAAAAATGTATAAATATTTAAGAATCTTTACATATTATTAACTAATATATTTCCGTACAATATCTTTTTTCAATGTCCAAAAAATAACATTCTCACTCTCACACGAATAAGTATTTCACTTTCTATTTTAATCGTCTTTATTTAAATCATAACATTCTCACTCTCACACAAAATAAATAATTCATCCTTTGTTTTTATCGTCTCTATTTTAGTGTATATATATATATTTTGTTTTTCTTACGCTCTCTTTATTAATACAAAAAACGTATAAATATTTAAGAATTTTTACATATTTTTAACTAATATATTTCTAAAACGCCNGTACAATATCTTTTTTCAATGTCCAAAAAATAACATTCTCACTCTCACACGAATAAATATTTCACTTTCTATTTTAATCGTCTTTATTTAAATCATAACATTCTCACTCTCACACAAAATAAATAGTTCATCCTTTGTTTTTATCGTCTCTATTTCAGTGTATATATATATATTTTGTCTCTCTTACGCTCTCTTTATTAATACAAAAAACGTATAAATATTTAAGAATTTTTACATATTTTTAACTAATATATTTATAAAACGACCGATAATTTTCAAAACTTTTGGTAAGTACAAACCAAAACAAAACAAAACTACTAATTCATAGTAAATGTGACCACTAAGCATCTAATGCCATTGTCTTTATTTGGTGAGTGAGTGAAAAAAAAATTCAGTTACAATTCAACAATTTTTGTTTGTTTGTTTGTTAATTATTTTTCTCTTTTTCTCTCTCCAAAAAATCAAATTGATCCTACGGTTGAGATTGCCTCTCGAGCCTTTTACAAAAAGTAACGGTAGGGGGTTTTCTCACCTCATGATGACGTCACGGATTCGTCACCTGCCAGCGTGGCACTTGCAAGGAGAATAACCGTCAACACATCGACCGTTATTTCACGTGGCAAATTTCTATGGTCCCAAGTGGACTAACACCCTGGAGGACTGTGTGTGTGAAGCTTAATGCCATCCGATGTCCGCCACGTGGTTATCATCTGACGGCTATGATTAATTCTCAGTGAGGTGGTCCCCATGCTAGTTTTTGAGAGTCCACCGGAGCCCCACCAAAATTTTGAAAAACAAAGCAGTGAAGTGTGAGAATACACAGAGAGTAGTGCTGGATAGAGAGAACTTAGCAGAAGAAGAAAATTTCCCTCTCTCCCCTTCTCTCTCTCCAAAAAAACACAAAAAGGTGTTCTCTGCAATAAAAACAAATAAAAAGCTTTGCCTTTCACTTCTTGGGTTTGAAGAAAGAGAGAGAAAACACAAAGGAAGCTTTTTCTTCTTCTTCTTCTTCTTTAAGAATCCTAAAATCTTTGCTTTTGAAACATCAGGAACAGTTTTTTATTGTGATTTTGGGCCATACAAAAGTTTTTCAGCTTCTGTTTAAGTTCTGGGGTTTTGAGATTGTTTTGCGAAAAACAACAAAAAGGCATTCTTTAGCTGCAATGCCAAACCACCAACACCAGTTTTTGAAAACCCTAGACTTGTTTTATGTGTTTTTTCTATTCTGCTTGTTTTGTTTGGTTTCTGGGGAAGTTTTTCCCGAGAAACTGATTCTCCTTGAGTTCAAAAACTCCATTTCTGACCCTTTTGAGCTTTTATCCAGCTGGAGAGCAGACAATTCCGACCACTGTTCATGGTTTGGCGTCTCATGCGACTCCAATTCTAGGATTTTGGAGCTGAAAATAAGAGGTAACAGTTTTGATGCTTTTTCTTGTTCTGAGAATTCCGAGATTGCATTGCATGGCTTTGGAATTAGAAGAAACTGTTCTGATAGAAAGGGAAAACTAGTTGGAAAACTATCTCCTGTAATTGCAGGGCTGACTGAACTTAGGGTTTTGTCACTCCCATTTAATGAACTTGATGGTGAGATTCCTAATGAAGTCTGGGGTTTGAAAAATCTTGAAGTGCTTGATCTTGAAGGGAATTTAATTACTGGGAATTTGTCAAGTGAATTCAGTGGTTTGAGGAAATTGAGGATTTTTAACCTTGGGTTTAACAGAATTGTTGGGAAGTTTCCAAATTCACTTTCCAAATGTAGGGTTCTTAGGGTTTTGAATTTAGCAGGTAATCAAATAAATGATGGGATTCCGGGGTTTGTTGGTAGTCTTAAGAAGTTAAAAGGGCTTTATTTGTCGTTTAATCGGTTAGTTGGGCCTATTCCAGATAGTTTTTGGAAAAACTGTCAGAATCTTGAACATTTGGATTTGTCAGGGAATTACCTAAATGGGGAAATCCCGCGTAGCTTGGGCAATTGTAGTCAGTTAAGGACAGTTTTGTTGTTCTCAAACGCTTTCTATGGTGTCATACCTTCCGAGTTTGGTAGGCTTCGAAGGCTTGATGTTCTAGATGTTTCGAGAAATAGCCTCGGTGGTCCTGTGCCCGCGAAGCTTGGAAATTGTGCCAGTTTGTCAGTTCTTGTCCTTTCGAGTGACATTAATTTGCTCACGAATGTGAGGAGGCCACGTGGAGATGCACCATTTGAACTATTTCGTGCTGCTTTGGATGATTACAATTTTTTTGAAGGCTCCATTCCTGTGGAGATTACAATGCTTCCAAAGTTGAAAATAATATGGGCCCCAAGTGCAAATCTTGAAGGTAAGTTTCCGAGCAACTGGGGCCATTGTGATAGCTTAGAAATGGTTAACTTTGCTGAAAATTTTTTCACTGGAGAAATCTGTGGTGTGTTTGGAGGATGCAAGAACCTGCATTATCTCAATTTGAGCTCAAATGCACTTAGCGGACAGCTTGACGAAAAACTTCCAGTTCCTTGTATGACCATATTTGATATTAGTGGAAACCTCATGTCAGGATTAATTCCAAGCTTTAATCACAATGCTTGCCCTCGTCTTCCCTCTTTGACTTCAGATCTTCTCCAACCTAACAACCCATCCTCTGTGTATCTGTCATTGTTTACACATAAAACTCGCTTTGAAAACCCGCTGCCATTTTCCAGAGTCAATGTTCCCATAATTCACCATTTTGGTCAGAACAACTTCACTGGTGCAATCACATTGCTTCCGATAGCCCCTGAAAGATTACAGAAACAAAATGAGTATGCATTTCTGGCTGATGGAAACAATCTTACAGGATCTTTTGGTGGAAACTTATTTGGAAAGTGTGATGGAATAAACGGAATGATTGTTAATGTTAGCAACAACAAAATATCTGGTCAAATCCCATCAAATATTAGTATGATGTGCAGATCTCTTAAATTTTTGGATGCTTCCAGGAACCAGATTTCTGGGTCAATACCTCAAGGTCTTGGGTATTTGAAATCACTCATTCTGCTTAACTTGAGCTGGAACAAATTGAATGGTCAGATTCCAGTTGATCTTGGTCAGATGAAACATCTCAAGTACCTTCGCTTGGCTGGCAACAACCTAACTGGCTTCATCCCTTCTGTCTTCGAGCAGCTACACTCCCTTGAAGTTTTAGAACTTTCATCAAACTCTCTTCGTGGTGAAATTCCACAAGGTCTTGCATACTTGAGAAATCTAACTGTTCTTTTGCTCAACAATAATAAATTGTCAGGCAAGCTCCCTTTGGCTTTGGCAAATATGACATCACTCACCTCATGTAACGTCTCTTTTAATAATTTGTCTGGGCCGTGGCCATTGGATATTAAGTTGCTGAATTGTAGTAGCTTTCTTGGGAACCCTCTTCTTCCTTGCCCTATAATTTCCTTTTCTGTACCTCCAACAGAGCAGCAGGGTAGCAATAAGTCACAGAATCACGCTGCTTCTCCATCTGAAAGTAATTCTAAAAGTGGAAAAAAAGGGATCAATTCTATTGAGATAGCATCCATAATATCTGCATCAGCCATTGTCACAATTCTCCTGGCTTTTGTTGCCCTCTTTTTTTACACAAGAAAATGGATACCGAATTCGAGAGTGCAGGTATCTGAATCTTCTGACAGAAGGGAAATTATAGTTTTCAATGACATAGGGGTACCATTGACATATGACAATGTTGTCCAGGCCACAGGGAATTTTAATGCAAGCAACTGTATCGGCAGTGGTGGTTTTGGTTCAACTTACAGGGCTGAAGTCTCTCCAGGAACCATAGTGGCTGTTAAGAGGCTCACCATTGAAAGGTGTCAAGGTGTTCCACAGTTTGCTGCTGAGATTAGCACCCTAGGAAGGATTAGACATCCAAACCTCATAACTCTGGTTGGTTACTACGCCAGTGCAGCAGAGATGTTCCTCATATATAATTTTCTGCCAGGAGGTAATTTGGAAGAATTTATACAGGAAAGAACTAGAAGAGCTTTAGACTGGAAGATACTTCACAAGATTGCTCTAGATATTGCTTGCGCACTTACTTATCTCCATGACCGGTGCAATCCTCGTGTTCTACATCGAGACATCAAGCCAAGTAATATCTTGTTGGATAATGACTTAAATGCGTATTTGTCAGACTTTGGATTGTCTAGGCTCCTGGGAACTTCTGAAACACATGCGACAACTGGTGTTGCAGGAACGTTTGGATATGTAGCACCAGAATATGCTCTGACATGTCGTGTGTCTGATAAGTCTGATGTTTACAGTTATGGAGTGGTGCTACTTGAATTGATTTCAGATAAGAGAGCTTTGGATCCTTCGTTTTCTTCACATGGAGATGGTTTCAATATTGTCTCATGGGTATGCATGCTATTGCGACGTGATCAGGCAAATGAGGTATTCGCTGCTGGTCTATGGGATGCAGGTCCCCAGGATAGTCTGGTAGACATACTTTACTTGGCTGTTTTATGTACTGTTGACTCCCTATCTGCTAGGCCTACAATGAAACAGGTCCTCCAGAGGCTGAAACAACTTCAACCTCCATCAACCTAGCTCTAAATTGTATGAGGCTTCTAATTATTGCAAATGAAACTTTGCATAAGAAATCAAACTTCTAAATTTTAATCTTGCACCTGGTCCCATACATCACTCAGTTTTCTCTCTGGTTTCTTCCCTACTGCATCCATTTCCTTGTCATTCTATCATTAGGGAATGTGATCGTATATGTATCAATCCTCCTCGTTGAAAAACCTCAAGTTTTACTTTATACATGCATTTTAGGTCATTTTACAGCTTCCGATTAATCTGATACAGAAGAAACTTGGCTAGTTTGGCTAGTCCATAGATTTCACTTCAACCCTTTTTGGACTTCCATTTTCAAAATTCTGAGGCAAAGCTGCTATATAAAACCAGTAAGTAGAGGTTATAGCAACAATGTGGTGGTGTACCGTAGAGCAAATATAGATAGTTGACTTAGTGGTGGTGCATCTGATATTGCTTGAATTTCATACTTAATATGCAGTGCTTGAATTTCATACATAAGAAACCTATAGATCACATGCAGCTCTCCATCCCGATAATATAGCAAAGAGTAGGATTCCTTTAAACTTTTTAGAAACCGAAGTCTAAAATGACGATATGAAATGAATCCAATCCCATAATCTGTCCAAATACTCGCACAGATCGTCAAAGATTCATGCATTTTTTTCTTTCCATATAACCCAAAAGGTTGCCATGACAATCCAGTTTCTTTTTCTGATAGAGTTGAAAGAATGTTTACTAATTCGTATAATCGTAAGTTGTAAGAGCACATTCTTATTTCTTATTTGTGCCAATGCCTACCAAATCTGCTAAGTAAATCAGTTCATAAAACACTAAACAAGAAGCTTCCCACTTAACAGGGAGGTCTTTGACACCAACAGAAATCCCTACTGTCATATGACCAGCAATATCAACTTTTCGGCTACAAGAAGCTCCCACTGGATGATCATAGTCATTCCCAAGTCCATGCATGTTGGAGATAGTTGTTATAAAATTGATAGAACCTAAAATAGATGAAACCCCAGTTAGATGAAGACTAGAAATTGATGAATCTAACTGCTCTTCCACAATGGCTAGTAATACCACT